TTAGACACCAAGGTTATTATAGTTAACAAAAACTAAAACTAAAACCATAAAAAAAAAAAAAAAAATTCTGTTACCTAAAATAAAATATTAAAAATATATATTTTATTTCATCTCATTTTCATTTAGTTTCTTGATGTACTAAAATAACTAAAGCTGAAATTAAAATTTATAAAAACGGTATATACATATTAAACATATAACTAATAAAAATGACAAAACGCAGCAAAATTACTAAACATTTAAGTAACATTAAAATTAAAAACTAAATGCAAAAAAAAAACTAATTTAAAATATTAAAATAAACTATAATAGTATCTCAGTAATATTCAGTGCACTTTAAATCATTTTTGCTTGTCATGTTAATTGCATTAGACACCAATATTATTATAGTTAAAACTAAAACCATAAAAAAAAAACATTTCTGTTGCTTTAAATAACGTTAAATACAGACATTAAAGACACACAACAAAATTACTAAAACTTTAAGTAAAATTAAAACAAAAACAGAAAATATCAAAATTAATTCAAAATATAAAACACTATAATAATATCTTAATGATACTAAAATAGCAATGTTACATTCAATTGGAAAAAAAAATCAGTCTGTGTTGGATACTAATGGAGATATCTTTAGCTCTTCTCTGTTTCACAAGGTCAGAATCACTGTTTTCTCCATCAGCAGAACAGAGACCTTTAAAACAGTGGAAAAAACTCAGAAAGAATAAAACCGAAAACAAACTAAGTGGTTATTTGAGCGATTATGACGTGCTGTAAGAGATTATGTATTGGACATATAAAATGTTCATCAAGTTACATGTACAATATGCAAACTTATATTCTCATTTATTTAGCTTGCATGTTTTTAAATGCATGTACTTTTAAGAATATTCCAGATCATAAAACATATGTAATAGGTCATTCTGGAAGCATGTGTGAATGATGCTGATAAATACCCTGTGATGAGCCGTCAGATCTGGATTGGGCTTTTCTGTGACACACAGATATGATATTATATGATTCATGAGCCCTGAGGACTGTGATCTGTCAGCCAAAACGCTCAAATTCCAGATAATTACACACACTAGCACAAAGGTTTTCATGCCATAATATAATATGCAAACAGCCCACTGGCTTCTATATTATATGTGGCTATAATCATAACACTTTACAGTCCTAAACATCAAACATGTAACAACCACAAGCCAGAATGACTGAAGGCGGCTTGCATTCCTGAGATAATAATGTTTCTGTCAGTGGGAATGAACAGCCTTTTATCTGAAACACTAGTTGATCATGTTTTCTCAAATCCTGATGATCGGATGCATGTTGTCATTAGGTATATGCAATCTTGAGATTCTCTTCTGATCTTGTTTTAATGGAAAGGCTGATGCATTATTGGAGGCTGACTGAAAGAGGCGTCAGGTTTGATGGATGCAGCAGACGGCTGCATGCTGACCAATAAAACAACTGATAAAAGAGAAGAAAATATAGTCTGATAAAAACTGTGTTGGTTCAGATGGAGGCCAGTCTCTCTCTCTCTCTCTTTTTTTTTTTTTTTTTTTTTT